GTTAATAAAATTTTTATTTTTTTTCATGTTTCTTTATTCAATTATTTCCAATGATCTGCAAGTGTCCTTATATTTATAACCAGGAAGTGTATATATGATAAATTTTCAAGTAAGGGTTTCCGACGCTGTCGTTGTTTTCTATTCTTATAATTCAGAATTTCACGGTCAATCTTTTTTTCTATTTCCGGATAAATATCACTAGCTTGTTCTATGGCAATAGGGTATTTCCCTGTTGTGAGGCTTTTCCATATATTCCATTGTATCGATGGGCAAAGTTCAGTAAGTTTACCCAAATAATATGGATTGAAAGGAGGATTTCCCATGAGTGGTATAGTATTATTACGAAATAAATAATTCTCAAAATTCCAGGAATTCGAAAAATACAGAACAAAAAAATACCATTAATCCCTAGTGATAATCTAGCATGAATTTTCCAAACGTCTCCCGAGCAATTGCTGAGATAAAATATGTGTCAGAGACACTAGCTCCGCTATCGAGCCCTTTCTTAACCCGATGATTGATTTCCAAAAGTGTACCCTGAAGTCAATCGTCAACACTTGTGGACAATGATCATGATTGTTACATTTTGGAAGGAAGTCAAATCATTGGTGATGATGATCACGATTACTACGTGTCGGAGTCTGAATACACACGCCTGAAAATCTGACTTTAAGCAAAGTGAAAAAATGGAATATATATATATATATAATCTTTAAGAATCTAAACCATGTGCGGTTAATCCAATTTTAGGGATCCCTGCATATAGTCACACAAGACATCAACTGACCATATTTGCATGATGTAGATGTTCTATGAACTTAGCCAAATTAGTTTGATGACATGAAATCTAGATGTTGCAAAATCTAATAAGTAACAATAGCAGAGCTAGTGTCAGAGACACATATTTTCAGTTTACATTGGAATCTGGTACAAAAAAAGATACCAGCCCTCAAGGGGTATCGAAACATTGAATAAATAAAAGATACCAGCCCTCAAGGGGTATCGAAACATTAAATAAATAAATAATTGATATGTTATAAATTGCTAACTTGGCGCATTTCTGCTCGAATATTCTGTAAGCACGCATAATGCAAAGCGAGTTCAGTTGCCGTCAATCCATCTGGGCGATAAATCCACTCCACAACCTTCCTTTGTATTTTAATACATGCTCTAATCTTTTTCCCAACTTCTCTTGCATGTTTGATCCGTCTAATTGCATTTGTCATCCATAATTCATAGCGACGTAATGCATAGTTGTCATCGTATTTACGTGCGGATTTGGGTTTTTGTATGATTTTTTGGTATTCTCCATAACTCACACCACAGTATTTATTTCCAGTACAATGAGAGGCCCAATGCTTTTCCATTCCAATATGATTATAGTTATTTCCCATATTTATGGTCATTTTCCCAGTATATACTAGTTGATTGCAAGAGAAACAGATAGCCATCCCTATTGTAGGAGCATATAAATTCCCAGATGGGACTTGGGTCAATCTTCTCGCTTCAAGATATTTTTCACCCCCTCCAGTAGGTAAAAGGTCGTAATCTCTGAAATACTGCAAACGAGTCCAAATTCGTTCTTTCCACTCACCAGGAGTTTCATTGGTGCGAACTTGAGGCATCTGGCAATATTCAGTCCATTCATCATTACTGCATTTAGAACCAGAATGAGCTATTAATTCGCTAAAATTATCCATTTATATGACCTATTTATATAGTATATTATAAGTGTATATGATTTAACGAGTTATAGTGTATTTAGGTTTTAGACCTATTAATTTTATTAATTATATATATATGGATATCACAATTCATTTTTGTGCAAATTCTATTTGAATCATTTTATCGTATTTTGTAAGTGATTATGGGGTTTGAGCGAATATGTGAGAATATATTGATAAATGGTGAAAAATCGAGATATTAATATAAATATAGTTGAATGTTCCACGAGATAATTTCTGTAACACTGCTAAATTATTTCACTATATTTATAGATTATGGAATTAATAAAGCCTTTTCCTTATTGTATATAGCTTTACCGATAAGAAAAAATACAAATAAGACTCAAAAAGAGGAGAGTTTATTGTTCTTTATCAGTAATAACATCAAAATTTATATGTTATGGAACTTGAGATCCGAGATCGCCAAAATTTGTCTTATTTTACACTTTGAATGAGAGATCGCCAGACTGGAAGGTTTAATTTCCCCATAAAAGGCGAAATATATTTAGTTCTTGACACCCATGACTTAATAGACCTGCCTTATGAAGAAAGATCCGAGAAATGATCAGGTAACGTAATTACTAATGTTTTTCTTCTAACAGGTTCTCAGGTAACAAATGAAACTATGTGCCTTGGCACTAGCTCCGCTATAAATAAACCGGATTTATGAGGCATCATTATTTCTTATCTTTCTGCAATTTTTATAAGGTAACGTGTTTGGTTTGCTGGTGTTCATTATGCGTTATTTGCAATAAGAGCTCTATCCATTGTAAATGAATTTTTACTTATTATAGAACTTTATATTAGGAAACGCAAAATGACCAATCCTATTAGTCTCAAGTGTTGTTTTCCAGATGGTAAATATTTTAATATTGAAATATGTAAGGAAGATAAGGTTTCCACACTTAAAAAAGCGATTGAAGGTCTGTTGATAAATCAAGGTCACCAAGAACTTTCTATTAATTTAAATCTCTACGCAATTATTCCTATGGAATCGACAGCTGAGGTTTCTGAATATTTCAATGCTACTCCAGTTACCAGCCTAAATCAAGCTAAAGACTAGTGCCGTAAATTATGATGATGGTAGTAATTGTATTTACGGCATATAAAAAGTGGTTGCAATTACCTTTGCGACCACTTTTGCAACCATACTTTTTCCTTTTTTGGATTACGGCACTAGTCTTTAAATCAAGCTAACCTTCTCATAAAACCAAAGGAATAATAATTTTTTTTTTTTTTATTTACGTCTGCAGTATGTAACTGCAATATGATTTTTTTTTATTTTTATGTTGTTATTTCAGTAACATTTTTTATATATCAATAAAGTAAAGTTCTATGTAACCATTTGTCTCGATCAGAATTATGTGGATGTCCATGCTTTATTTTCAAAATCACGTGTGCGTGAACAATTGTTCACACCGATCACTTTAGCAAGAAAAAAAAATTGAATGTGTCTCAATACTTTGATATAATACTGTGACGTAATAACTCTTCTCCGATTAGCCTATCCCGATCTGTTAAAAATTTATGATATTTTCTAGTATCTTCCTGCCTTTCTCAGCCTCAGTAATAACCGAAAAATTCTCGGGATCTTCTCCATGTTCCATTTTATTTGGATTAGTCCTAGAAATTGGGGAGTTATGGGAATTTATCCAGGGGATCAAGCCCAGTTTCTTTCTTATATCTTTTATATAACTTGGAACGAATTTTATCTGTTAAAATACTTGGTAAACCAGTTAATTTGGCATACCAATCCAGATATTCAAAGGTTAACATTTTATCAGAATTGGTCTGTGTAGTATTCATATTGCCGTTTTAAATAATTCCAAATCAATTTAATTCACAATAGCCAACAAAAATAAAATATTGTGCGAATTTGTTTCAGTATTATATGGTCCTGCTCTTTATTAGGAGGCAATGAAAAGGTATAAGAAGATGGAGTTTATGCGGTTATTTCAATTTCACGTTGCTCGCATTTAATATAATAGGACCCAGTTTCATATCTGCCTTCTACACCTTCACTACTGAATTCTCGATATAAGTCAGGATATTGCTCTAGTATTTTATTACAGAAATAGGTGCGGTCATTCTTTGGGTCCTTGGGTTTTGAGATAAGTGGTATACCAACATTGGTTTTTGTATCTGAGGATGATGAATCAGAGACTCGAAGCTTTGCTTCCTCACTTACCTTGGTTTCTGCTAAATCATTTGAACCAAAAGGTTTGGTTCGATCCTGACCATTGGTCAGGATGTCATGTGATTTTTCTGTGACCTGTTTTATAATATTTAAAATCTGGACATTGGTTAATTCTGATATAGATTTTGCACCATATGAAATTCCATAAGCTTTGTCTATACCGATCCCCTTAACTTCTTTCTGGGTTATAGGATCGATAATTTTTCCAAACAATTTATAAATAGTTCCAGCTCTTTGTGTCTTTTTGTATAGATTCACATCTGAAACTTTGGGTAAAGAAGCTTTAATCATAATATAAACTTGAGTCTTTGCAGTTTTCTCAGCAATCCCAGTTTTGGATTGAATTTCAGCAACACTGTTTTGGTATGCTTCTCTATAAGTATACCAGCATATGATTTCTTTTTGCTTGGCCTCTACCATTTTACCTTCCGCAATTTCAGCATCAGAAAATAATTGAGCTAGCTCTCGTCCACCTTTATCATTGCCTATATTCACGTCACTCTCTTGAGTTTTAAGGTTGTTAATTGGTGAGGTAAGTACTCCTTTTTGAATAAATAGAATCGCTTCTTGAATTAAACCTTGCTCTATTCTCTGATTATATGGTATTTTTATTTTAGAAGAAATGGCACTTTGTGACTGATTAATAGGCGCTTCTGAAATACTTTGGTTCTCGTTCTGATAGATAGGTGTTTGTTCTGATTCAATGGAGGGAGTATCCCGAGAAGTTGTGAGAGCCACTTGATCTTGAAGTTTCTTTTCCCTGTTTCTATCTCTCATCATAATACTAACACTTCTTTTATGTTCTGATTCCAGGAATTCATTGACCTCTTTATCTTCTAACGATTTAGTCTCTGTGCAGATAGATGTATTTGACTTCTGGCAAATGTCAGAGGCAGACGTATCATTGTGCTAGCTTCGCTAATAGTTATATCAGATGCGGTAGCATCCTCACTTCGTGAGACTTTTGTTCAGGAATATTCCCAATAGAAGGTGTATCCTGTGCATTAGCGATGGCCTGGGTTTGTCGTTTGAGCTTCTCAAAATCGCGCCTTAATTTTGCTACTTCGGCTTTAAGTTCAACATTCTCTTCCTTAGCATGTTCCAATTCTGAGATTTTAGCTGTAAGTTTATCAATCTCAGTCTGATTCTGCTCTAATTCTGTGATCCTAGTCATAAGTCTGGCATTCTCTTGTCTCAACAAATCTGATTCGGATTGCATGTTTGATAATATTTTTTAATATAAGATGCAGATTTATTCAAATTTCGAGTTGATAATATGAACAAAAACATCATGGCACAAAAAAATCTTGATCTATGTGAAGAGCATTTTTCCAATGCATATGCACATCACACACCCACACCACATATACAAAGTTAAAGCCTAAAGTGTGCAAACTTAATTTTTTTATTGCAGTAATATATTATATAATAAAACAAGATGCTTTGTTGATTATGAAAACACTATCCATCAAATTATATACATATAATCTGTGGTGTAACACACGTAAGTAAATTGCGATGTAATATTATGGATTACATATTTTCAAGAAATCAAAAAGTACATGCTTTGTTAAAAACATTTTAATTCAATATCATTGTTGTGTTCTATTTTTTACAGGTGTCAAATCAGTATGTGTAATATACTGGTCTGCATCTTCATTGTTATCTGGTGTACGGGTACATGCATCCTGAATATAATCTTTTAGATCAGTTAAACTCTTCTCAAGCAACCCCTGGTAATATGGCAGTATTACATAATAAAAATTTCATAAGACAAATGTGAGAAACTAACAGAATATAATTAGTTCAGAATGAAAACGAACCTTAAATTTGAGCAATACTGATGCAGATCGTAATATTAACCCCACCTCAACCTTATTCGTTGGCAGTTTTGATTGTAAAACTTCACAAAAAACATACAATCCACGAAATGGTATTGACATCTCATATATAATTACTTCATTATCTGTAAAAAATTAGAGAACATTAGCCTTACGCCTTACATAATATGAACCATTTTCGAAGTTGGCAATACTTACAATAAACATGTAGTCCATATAATTTTAATAAACTTAAACTCATGCCCGCACCACCATACTTCTTCACAACCCTATTAAAGATAACCTTCAGCATCTTGGCAATCTTGATTTTATCATTAAAAAAGTGCGTATGGTTGCGTTGGTTCGGTGGTCCACTGACTTCACCAACGAAAAACTCAAGGTCAGTTGGTTTCATAGACCAGATGATGTCGACTTTTCGGCCAGCATTACGATCTTCCTTATCGTTTTTTTCCTGATTGCGATCTTCTGACGAAGCGAACAGACATTTTTCACCACTAAGTGAACATACATTATAACTTAAAAAAATGAGGAAATCAAAGATTGTATCACATGTCATTTGTATACCCACAAAAAAATACTCATTTCCTGGTGCATTCCACGAAAGAGACTACGCATTAGAGGTGTGAGGAAGATTTCATGATACCCTAACTCGGACAAATTATAATCTGCAAGATCATTGTCTCTTTCAAATGATTCCACACTAAGAAAAAGAACTTGAATGTAAGACATAAGAAGGTAGGGAAAACACATTTATCAAATGGTTCTTACAGGAAGTTCAAATAGTCCCATATGAATTTTGTAGTATTGTTGATTCGTGTTTTCATGTAGCTCTCATCCACATAGTTACGAAAATTTTTCTTCTATATTCCAAAATATTAATTAGTTAAGAGAGTTTGAACAAAGCAACAAAATATTTTGCATTAGGGATCATGTATTTACGTGGAACTAACGATACCTTAATAAAATCAATGATATAATCTTTCATTCCATCTATATTGTCCATATTAGGTGTTGACAATGATTTTGACCGTCTTATTTCATGTACTACATCACGAGGTAGTGATTGTACGAAACCACTATTCGAACCTGGTGAAATATCTATGATGTCATAGAATGCTAGACTAAAATTTCCCAACATCAGTACCATCAGTACACCAGATATGTTCAAACTCATCGTATCTTAAACACATTTACAAAAATACTTACTCAGTGCGTGGTTGAACTCTTTCTTGCTTCCATTTTGTTAATGAATTATGTACATCAGTATCGTATATAATCCATTTCTTTCCATCATTTCGAATGGTTTCCTTGGCATACACTTCCAGTTCACCATCCTTGTTGTCCATCCTATTTAAACATCAATAAGAATTATTGCTTCATAGTTGTCAGTGTAAATAATTATGGTACCTCTCTTCATCTCTTAAGCTATCTTTAGATGCCAATTCATCATCATCATCATCATCCTGGTGATCATCATCTTCAGTCTGATAATTATCATTTTTAATCTGGCAATCATCATTGTCAGAGGAATTTTCGACCTCCTGGTCCTAATTGTATTGCAAAGAGTAATCAATTTGGATTTGTTAGTGGCCAATCTTGAGATCAAATTTCCAGAAACAATAAAACCAATCAAAGTCTTCACCCCATCAATTCTGACGCGTTTTGCTGATGGCATATCCTGTAGTAGAAATTTAAACCTTTTTTAAGTATACCTATTACAAGCCCTTTATTTGATTCTGAAGAGTAATACCTTACCTTGTTTTGCGCAAATGTATTTATCTCCTCATGAATATTAAGGTTTGTACTATGTATAGAACGGCGAACTAAATCTATATACAAATTTTTATCAATATTAAACCCGTCTATCTAAAAGTCAGCAACTGGACATACCGCTGTTTTCTGTTGCATCCAGGTTTCCCAGTCAAATAGAATCCTTCCTTCCTATCAAAAAGGAGCATAGAGTTAAAGTACTTTACAATATGACAAAAAAAAAATCACATTCAATTACATACATCCACAGTTTCTTTCATTTTTTGAGATTACTCTGCAGTCCATGATTATCAGTTTCGCTCAAAGCCAGATCAAGTGCTTGGTAATATTTTTCAGTTGCTCGAACACGATGTGTTGGAACTATATATTGAAAAAACGCAAGCGGAGTTGGATTGGGACAACTTAACATCCAGTTAACTTGACGTTCTTGCATAGTTACATTAGCACGTGAGGAATTCTTTTTTCCCATCATCAGCTTAATATTAAGAAATAGAAAAAAAAATAAATATCTTGTTGAACAAAGCAAATGAGGTAAACATTAAAGTATGTTGTTCTTCAAATAAGGCCGGCCACCCGCTAGATGATGACTCGCCATTACTGGCTTCCGACAGTATCCCTCTGTTGCAGACGCCTTATGTTGCTTAATGACATCTAATAACTTTTGTGCAATGAAGTTAGCCGGCCACCCACTAGATGATGACTTGCCACTGCTGGCTTCCGACAGTATCCCTCTGTCGCAGACGCTTCCTTCTTGCTTAACAAAATTATTGTCTATAAAGTGAATGAAATAGTTACTCAACCCACCTGACTAATTGATTTGTAAGTTGTTAAATTACTCGAAGAAAATTTTGTAAAAACAAGATTAAAAATAATTTTTGGGAAATTTTTTTGTTGTACATCCCCATTAATGTTGCACAACATACTAAATATGGAAAATGTCCATGTATTTACGCCAACAAAAAAAAAATATACATGAAACACAACAGGTTATGCATATCAGATTTTGATGATTTCATTTTACTTAATGATTTTAAAGCGAAATATATTTTGATAAGATACAAGAATAACTAATATTTTTTTATAAAAACTGGCAGAGTTGCAAGGGAGGGAACGTACGGCCCCTAGACCATTAATATACGTCCCTATACTTTGGTTAAAAACTATTAATTACTATTATTATAATCAAATATTTTATTGGCATTATTATCTTCATAGTTACTACTACTTATAAGTTTATTTTTTTCTTTAGTTTTAAGTGCAATCCAAGTCTTTATCGCGCCTGTGGTTCTGTGATCGGGTTTTGTTGTTCCATTATAAAAATTTTCGATAGCCTTGGCTCTGATAACTTTTATTTTTGTTTCTTTTTTTAGATCGCTTATATATACAAAGAAAATAAATGCACATGAGGAAATTAATCGAATTTGGTTAATCACACAAATAAATCATGCAGGTCAGGTGGTCATACGCATTAAAATTCTAAAAATAATTTTTGTTGCACAGCCCCATTAAATGTGTACAACATACAGGTTATCTGATTGATTATGCGGAGGGATTATCAAATTTGAATTTCTTCCTTTAACTCAACTATTAACCTCTGAGAAAGATTCTGTCAAATATATTAATGGACTTCCTTCCAATTTTCACGAAGAAGTCACGGTCAAAGACTTTATTGGGGGTAAGTACACGCTTATTTACTTGAAGAAGAATGTCAAGAAAGCTAGAACACAATTGTAGACTGGTCACATCCCACATTCCCGGAGTTCAGACAATAAATTTTTCGTATATTTCAAAGGCATAAGATCAGTAAAATGTTTATGGGGAATCACGAAAAGTTGTAGAATAATAATGTTATATAAAGCGAGATGGAAAAATGGAGATTTAGACGTGACATGCATGTCACTGGCGCAGTGATGTGGCGCAGTACGGAATCATTTACAGAAAGAAATAGCTTAATTTCGAATAAAATCATATCCACCGATTTTTGCAACATTTTAGGGCACATTTATAAAAATTTCTAAGGGGTTACTATATAGAATTAGAAG